TTCACTTCATTTAGTTGTTTTTCTGGGGCTTTATCTTGTTCCTTCATCTGGTACGTAGCTATCTGTCTTTTCATGTTTTCTATCTTTCTGTGAGTGTGGTTTTTGTTCCACAGGCTGCAGGATTGTAGTTCTTCTTTCATCTGCTGTCTTCCCTCTGGTGGATGAGGCTATCTAAGAAGCTTGTGCAAGTTTCTAGATGGGAGGGACTGGTGGTGTGTAGAGCTGACTGTTGCTCTGGTGGGCAGAGCTCAGTAAAACTTTAATCCAGTTGACTGCTAATGTGTGAGACTGGGTTCCTTCCCTCTTGGTCCTTTGGCCTGAGGCAATCCAACACTGGAGCCTACCCTGGCTCTTTGGTGGGGCTAATGGCGGACTCTGGGAAGGCTCACACCAAGGAGTACTTCCCAGAACTTCTGCTGTCAGTGTCCTTGTTCCCATGGTGATACACAGCCATGCCCTGCCTCTGCAGGAGACCCTCCAACACTAGCACGTAGGTCTGTTTCAGTCTCCCCTGGGGTCACTGCTCCTTCCCCTGGGTCCCGATGTACATACTACTTTTTGTATGTCCTCCAAGGGTGGAGTCTCTGTTTCTCCCAGTTCTGTCCAAGTCCTGAACTCAAATCCCACTGGACTTCAAAGTCTGATTCTCTAGGATTTCCTCCTCTGTTGCCGGACCTCCAGGTTGGGAAGCCTGACGTGGGGCTCAGAACCTTCACTCCAGTGGGTGGAATTCTGTGGTATAAGTGTTCTCCAGTCTGTGAGTCACCCACCCACCAGTTATGGGATTTGACTTTACTGTGATTGTGCTCCTCCTACAGTCTCATTGTGGCTTCTCCTTTGTCTTTGGGTGTGGGCTATCTTTTTTGGTGAGTTCCAGTGTCTTCTTGTCGATGATTGTCCAGTAGCTAGTTGTGATTCTGATGTCCTCACAAGAGGGAGTACGAGCACGTCCTACTACTCCACCATCTTGGTTCCTCCCTAGTAATCTCTTGTTAATTTCAGACATTTTATATATTTTCTTCTATTCCATTATTAAGGTTTTTTTTTTTTTTTGCGGTATGCGGGCCTCTCACTGTTGTGGCCTCTCCTGTTGTGGAGCACAGGCTCCGGACGTGCAGGCTTAGCAGCCATGGCTCACAGGCCTAGCCACTCCATGGCATGTGGGATCTTCCTGGACCGGGGCATGAACCCATGTCCCCTGCATTGGCAGGTGGACTCTCAACCACTGCACCACCAGGGAAGCCCTGTTATTAAGTTTTGAAGTAGTTTCCTGTCTCTAGACCTAGGGTGTTTTGCATTTTTTCTAGTAATTTTATAGTTTTACTTCTTACATATAGATATATCTAGATTCCACTTTTGTATATAGTGTTTCAGGGATATAGTTTTATTTTCCTCCATGTATTCATACAGTTTCCCCAACACGTTTAATAAGTACTCTTACCCTTTTTTCATAATTTGTAGTACCACATTTATCCTGTATAAAGTACCCATTCATACACGAGTCTGCCTTTGAGCTATGGTCCTTTATCAGTGGTCTATTTGTCTGTTGTTGCACTAGGACTTCAAGCTTTTTTTTTTTTTTTACCCCATGGCTTTGGGTATATCTTAATATCTAGCAGAGCAAGTCTTCCCTTCTTCACTGTTCTCTTTTAAGATTTATTTAGGTACTTATGGATATAGTCTTCTACTTAAATTTAGAATTCATTTGTGGAAAATCCTCTTTGAAATTTAATTGTAGTTGCATTAAATTTATAGATTAATTTGTGGGATAATTGCCAACTTTACAAAATTAAGTTGTCCCATCCAAGAGCATGAATGTCTCTTCATTTCTTTAAGTTGTCTTTAGTTTTCTTATTAGAGTTTTAAAGTTTTCTCTGTAAAAGTCTCATATATGCTTGGTTAAGCTAATTCCTGGATTCATCATGGTTTTTGTTGTCACTGTGAATGGTATTTTCTTAATGGTTTTTGCTGGTTTAGAGAAACACTTGATTTTTGTAGGTTGATATTTTATCTTGCAACCTTGCTGAATTCCTCTGATTTAAGTTCTAATAGTTTGTTGATTCTTTTGTTTTTTTCTTGGTAGAAGATCTTCTGTTATCTTTTTATTGGGAAAATTATCTTCCCAGTAAGTTGTGCCAGATATAGCACTTCAGTTCCAATCCTTTCATGTCTTAATTTCCCCCCTCTTTTTTCTTATTTTATTGCTTAGGATATCTAAAAGAGTAGCAGTGATAAATGGGTCCAGTTTGTCATTTTTGTGATTTTAAATTAATGCATTTAGTTTCTCCATTACACATGACATTCTTTGTAGGCTCTTGATGTATAATCTTTACCAAGTTAAGGATGTTTACTTCAGTTCCTAATTCACTAAGAAGTGAATAGAAGTGAACTCAAAATTATTTTTCTCTATTAATTGAGATAAAACATTTGATTTTTCTCTTTTAATCTGTTAATGTGATGTTTTCCATTGAAGTTTTCCAATGTTGAACTATCTTTGCTTGCTTGAGTTAAATTTACTTGATCAAATGTATTTTTAAAAATATACTGTTGATTCACTAAATAATTTTTATTTGGATGTTTTTGCATCTACATTTCTTAAGTGAAATGGGTATAAATTTTCATTTCTTATAGCTGTCTGTTTGGTTTTAGAATCAAGATTATGCTAGCCTCATACATAAAATAGACTGTCATTCTTTTTCTAATAACTGGAATCAATTGGATAAGGTAGTTTGTTTCTTGGAAATTTGGTAGAATTCACTAATAAGTCATACTGAGGTATTTTCCTTGGAATTTTTTCACTTCACGTAGGTTTTTCAATTTATTAGCATATTGTTCATAATACTCTCATTTAAAGAAATTTGTTACATTGTCTTCCCTTTTTCATTCTGTAGCTTGTGTATTTGCCTCTTTTCCCTTTTTTTCCTGATCAGTCTTATCAAAGATGTATTAACCTTTAGGAATGAAATTGGGTCATTTGTAGAGATGTGGATGGACCTAGAGAGTGTAATACAGAGTGAGTTAAGTCAGAAAGAGAAAAGCAAATATCATATAATAATGCATATATGTGGAATCTAGAAAAATGGTATAGATGATCTTATTTGCAAAGCAGAAATAGAGACACAGACGTAGAGAACAAATGTATGGATCCCAATGGGGAAAGGTGTGCAGTAGGAGGAATTGGGAGACTGGGATTGACACATATACATTATTGATACTATGTATAAAATAGACAACTCTTGGGAACATAATCTATAGCACAGGGAACTCTACCTAAATGGGAGGGAAGTCCAAAAGGGAGAGGATATCTGTATGTATATGGCTGATTCATTTTGTTGTGCAGTGGAGGCTAACACAACATTGTAAAACAACCATATTCCAATAAAAATTAATTTAAAAAGATCTATTAACCTTTTTAAATAAGTAAATTCTAGTTTTGTTCATCTTTTCTGTTGTTTTTTTTTTTTTTTTGTGTGTGTGTGTATGTGGGGGGGGCAATTCTCTGCTTTTTAATTTCTGTCCATTTTATTCCTTGTTTCTCTGTTCTTTTGCTTTCTTCATTGCATTGAATGCTTTACTAGTTTATCAACGTTTCTTCTTTAATGATAAGTGTACTTAAAGGTATAAATTTCTTCTTAGTTCTGCTTTAGCTGTGCCCCACAAATTTTCATTTGTTGTGTTTTTATTATTATTCACTTCTAAATATTTATTAATTTTATTTATGATTTCCTTTTAACCCAAGGTTAATTTAATAATATGCTATTTTGTTTCAAAACATATGCTAACTTTGCCTATTTTTTTGTTATTAATTTCTAATGTCATTGTGTCATGGTTGGAGAATGTAGACTGTATGATATTGAACCTTTAGAATTTATTGAGGCTTCCTTTACAGCCATTATCATGATGTCTTTTTAGAAATGTTCTATTAGTTGTCTTGAATGACTTTATGTTCTTCATTTGTTGGATATAGTGTTCTCTGTATATCTAATAGCTTGAACTTTGTAGTTGTACTGTGCAAGTATACTATATCTCTATTCATTTTTGTTTTTTATTTTTGTATGCTTGATCTATCAATTCCTAACTAAAGTGTTAAAGTATCCAAGTGTTTCTTTTCTCTATGCAGTTCTGCTACAAGCAAGTACATCAAGCCAGATGTATTTTGAAACTTCTTATAAGATGCGTATATATTTATGATAAATATATTTTCTTGTCCTGTTGTTCTTTGTCTCTTGATTCTATTTTGTCAGATATTAAATCTACTCAAGCTTTGTTCACATTTGTCTAGTATATCTTTTCTATCTTTTTATTTTCAACTTATTTACATCTCTATTTTAGGTATAATCTTCTAGACTGAATATTGTTGAGTATTTGTTTTAATTCAGTCTGTAAGTCTGTCTTTTAACTGGTAAGTTTAATTTGTGTACATTTTTTATTTCTCTTATATTGGGACTTATTTCTGGCATTTAATTTTATGCTTTCCATTTATGGTACTCTTTTTGGTTTTTTGTTTGTTTGTTTGTTTGCTTCTTTTTTTTTTTCATTCCTACTTTCCACTGGATAGATCAAGTTTTCTCCTGCTTTTTAGAAAATTACATACTCTACTTTCTTGCCCTTTAACTTAAGATCTAATCTCACGTTATTTACACCTATTGATTTTTCCACATACAGTAACTGCCACTTCCCTCTAACAAGATTAGTACCTCAGCAGGCTCTTATGTCCTATTTATCTTCCACACACTTCTACCCCATCATAGTAACATCATCTAGAATTTTAATCCTTCTTAGAATCCACGTTTCCCTCTCACTTTTATAGTTTCTTCCGGGCTGATTTAGGAAAAGGAAACACAGATCATACCAGTTTGCCACCTTGACAGGACCTAGAAAGCCTCAAAGAAGTTTTATAGCAAATTAACAGCATTTATCTTGCTTTGAATTACACCACTTTAATCACAGGTAGTGAGTTGATAACTTAATCAGTGTTTTTCTCCCCCCTCATATAACAGGTAGAAAATGTGAAATTACTGGATCATTATGTAGGTAAGAAACCAGCTAATGGGAGTCTATATCTTACTGCAACCCACCTGATCTATGTGGAGACTTCTGGTGCAGCCCGAAAAGAGACATGGGTATGTTCATGAGAAGAAATATCAAAGGGTCTGGAAGGGTTGTGTATACATGCTTTCTAAAATGGTTAAATTTCAGTTAACAGTTAAATTGCTGTAAAACCTTTTCTTCAAAGAATCTATTCTGGGGGGAGGTCTTTTCAGAGATTGAATCATATGATTTCTCGTCCCTCAAGTTGTTGACTATAGTCATCTTAAGCTACATGGGACTTTTCCTCAATATTTTTAGGCAAAGTAGTCTCTGCTCATTTTCTGAGTTTACTTGGTAAGCATCCCGAAGTAATTTAAAGCCTTGCTACCCATAAAATGTGGTCCAAAAACCAAGAACATGTGTATCACCTGGGAGCTTGTTAAAAATGCAGAATCTCAGGCCTCAGATTTTAAATTTCTAAAGTGCTCTCAGGTGATGCTGGTGGCTCATGGACTACATTTTGGGTATCAATAATTTAGACCAACACTCTGACCTAAGACAGGGTGGTGTGTGTGTGTGTGTGTGTGTGTGTGTGTGTGTGTGTGTGTGTGTGTATGTTTTGTTATACCTTTAAACAATGTTGTCTAATTAGTTTAGCACCGCTAATGTTACTTTATGCCTACCTCATCCTAAAGTAGGACCGTTTAATCTTAATCATTAGCCAGACTTATTCTTAGTCCTCTGTAACAAGTAAAACATGTTTCTGGTATATGGCATAGCATAGTGATTAAGATCACAGACTCTAGAGCCAGTCTGCTCCAGGTGAAATCCCAGCTTCAACATTTACTACCTTTGTAACCTTGGGCAAGTTATTTAACTTATCTGAGGCTCACTTCCCTCATCTATAAAATAGAGGAAATAATACCTGGCTATGGAATAAAAAAGTTAATGTTGTAAATGCTTAAAACAGTGTTTGGCACATGATAGATACGATTATATAAGTATAAAATGAATTAAACAGAATATACATTTGAAAGAAGCATTTTAAAACTTCCTTTTTAAAAACACCATGAGCTTTCCCCATATGACATTGTATCTTGTTCACTTTGGTATGATGAAAGGAATGAGAAAAGAGGAATCAGGAGAGTTCATTCTAGCTAGACTCAGTCGTGCACTAACTGGCTATATGACCTTGGGTAAGTTACTCTTGCTCTCTGGGCTTCAGTTTCCTCATATGTAAAACGAGGTTGTTAGATTATATAATTAGTAAGGACTCTTCCATTTCTAACAGTTTGGGAACCAGTTCTTTAGTACTGTACCATGAGACTTTCCCCTTTCTACCTGCATTTACAGACAGCGCATGTCTCCAGATTTGTTTCTACTGGATATTATTTCAAACCTAATGGACTAGATCAGGAAGGAAGAACTTATGTTAATTATTTCTATATGTCAAGGGAGGCATATTTACCCAATTAGTACTATTAATGAAGCTCCTTCCATCCTTAGTCTGCTTCACTTTCTGCCTCTTTCCAATTCACCAGTTTTTGCCTGGCATCTGATCTCGATGATCACTGTTTTACTACCCAAACACAGGTCTCCCATATTGATCAACAGGGCTTTGATTTTCTTGAAATTTGATACATTAATTCCTGTTACATTATCAGTAGTTTTTATGACCCTTCAAAACTGCCATAACAGGAATTGAGTTTGACAGAATAGTTAAGACAGAAATTAAGATGGAAAATTCCTTCTCAGAATATGTGAATAGTCCCTACATCTAACCCATTCTTAGATGATGGATATGATTGAAAGATTTCCAGGAAGAGATTTATTTTCCAAATAAATGGGGGCTGGGGCATAGACTGTGTGAGATGGAAGAAAAGAAAAGACAATGATGATCGGAAGGCCATTCCAGGCACAGGACAGGGAGTCCAGAGAATGAAAAGAGTACATTCAGGCTCTAGTTGTAGGAAACATCAGAGACACAGATAGGAGGAGAACATCAAAGACTAAAATGTAAAACCATGATCCCATGGCTTTTTGAAATTATAAAGAGAGACTTGTATTATTTGTATACAGTTTCTTGTACCAGTTCCCTTTCCATGCATTTCTTTTTTGCTGGCATCAGCATGAGCAGGAATGATGAGACTAAAAATTTAATAATCCTTCATTTTTTAAAAACATCTGAATTATTAACCTGTACTCCCATGGGAAACAACTTTATTAACTGCAGTACGGTGCTTATGTATAGTTCCTTTAGTCCTTAGTCTTACAGTCTCCACTCATTCCCTTAGTCACTTAGGTAAAAATTTCCCCCATTTCATTCTTTGCTTTACTGTCACTAGAGTCTAAAATGTGGAAGAGAAATTTTCCCTGTAATATTTCTAGTTAAATCCTAATTCCAGGACTAGAGTTTAGAATTTCTAGAGAAATAACCCTGAACAAAGTTAGACTGCCATGGTTCAAATCCTGTTTGTGCCACTTTTTGGCTGTGTGGCCTCTGATGAAGAGTTCACTTCTCAGAGCTTTGGTTTCTTCATTCCTGAAATGGGATGATTATACGTCAAAAGTGTTGTTACAGGGATTAAATAGTTAATGATTATGGACTACCTCATGAGCAGTAAAGCACAATACCAATTATTAATCATTTTAATTAGTAATTTGTTAGAACAAAAGGAAGTTCTATTTTCCTCTCTGACAATCATTCTACTATGATTTTTAAACTCCACCACAGCGTGCTAGAAGCCATTTGTTCTGAGCCAGTTCACCACAATTGCCCCGTAAATCTCTTAACCTTATATCCCTAAGGAGAGATAAGTTTTATAATATCATAATTTGCTTTTCATTGCTTTACCACTATTTACTTCTGTTTAAAAGAAACCCAGTTTTACCTTACAAAGGATGGTTGTAGGCTGTAGATGTGATCACATCTCTGGCCATGCTGTTACCGTTACTGAGAGTCAGGCACACTGAGAGTGATAGATCTAGTGCATGTCTGTGAATTATTTTGGTTCTTTTCTGTTTTGTAGATTGCACTGCATCATATTGCCACTGTGGAGAAGTCGTCCATCACTAGCCTGGGTTGTCCCCTGATCCTCCGCTGTAAGAACTTCCGGGTGGCCCACTTTGTTTTAGAATCTGACGTTGTGTGCCATGAGGTTTACATTCCACTGTTAAAGCTTTCTCAGCCAGGTCGTTATGATAGTATTTTTTATCTAAAACCATTGTAATTTTTCTCCCAGAATGGCATAATGGAAAGATCATTGGTTATGGAGTTAAATAGAGCAGAGTTTGAATCTGGGCTTTGCCTATTACAGTTCCATGGTATTTGGACAATATACATAACCTTTGAACTCAGCTTCCTCACCTGTAAAAATAATGATAGTATAAGGTCCCTGTGGTGGTTGTTTTGAGGTTTAAATGTATGTGTGCATTTTTACTCTGTACTTGGTATATAGTAGATGTTTAACAGCTGTTATTTCCTTCACTTTCCCTCTTTCCTCTTAAGTATCAACTTGTAAATTTTTCAACACTTCAGGAAGTAAGACTGCTTTGGAGCAAAATTTGTTTACTGTTGTCTTGCAAGCTTTATGTTTGGCCTATTGTTCCTACCCCTACTTTTAGTTCCAACTAGCAAACTAGGGAAGTTTATCAGAGTCCTTAATGCAGTTATCCCTGCTTCCTCCAGCCTCACCCTCTCGTCTTCCAGCCCCAACTCCAGATTGCTAACCCATCAGCTTCCTCTGATTTTAGTCTGTGGACTAATGTCCTAGTCTGTGGATTAAAATTACATTTCCCTCCCCATTTTCTTCTACCCTTTTCCTAGAACAATTTCTCAGAATTTGCTGGTGCTCTATTGACAGAGGCTATCTGTTAGCTGGCCCAAAACTTTGTAAAAGGCTCTGGAAGACTCCATCCATCTCTGGAAAAGTTACTGCCACATAAGTTGGTCAAATGAGTTATTGATTACATGTTGAACTTTGTGAAGGGAGGAAGTGGGGTTGACAGGAAGAAGAGAAGAAATGGCCATTTATCAGCCAGAATCAGGTATTGACCTGAAGAGTAGAATGCAAGAACACTGTTAATGTTTTGCAGTATGTTACAACAAACAGTGCAATTGGAACATTGAAGTTCTGTTAAAAACTTATGGTAAGGACCACTTTCTTAGCATGTGAAACCTGGAAGCTTGAGTTCAGTCCATTATCCAACAATTCACAGGAAACCAGGGAGAATGTTCCTGCTTTGTATTGGTATCATATAAATTTAAATATTTTTAAAAGAAGACTCTGAAGCAATATTTCAATTCTTATGCCTTGTATACAAATAAAAGCAACCTTGTACACAAACTATTGTCCTTTTCAGGGGCTGTTGACAAACATTCCCTTAGAGAGAAGAAAATCTAGGCTTTTTTGCACTATTTGGTATTAAGTTTCACTCATTATTACTTTGTTTTCATGCCTATCTTTCTTCTCTAGAATTACATGAAGATCTGTATGCTTTTTCTTACAATCCAAAATCCTCAAAAGACATGAGGGAAAATGGATTGAAGCTGATTGACCCAATATCAGACTTTGGGCGTTTGGGACTTCCCAACAGGTACTGGACCATAACAGACGCCAACAGAAACTATGAGGTAATTTTTTCATTGTTGCTTTCTTTTAGTTCATTTAATTAAAACAGAAGAATACCAGCAAACAATTTTTTTAAAAAAGGGAAAAAACAACTCATGATCTCTACTTTTCATTCAATATTCAGCAATTCAACAAGCTTTTATTAAATAACTAGTGCACTCAAAACACCGAGTCAGAGTTCTCATAGTCTAAAGCATAGGGAGCATAGATGAAGAATATGGAATTCAGACTGGGAAGCCAGAAACAGCCTTATTCATTGGGTAATAGCCTGGAGAAGGAATTCTATCCTAACTTACGCAGGGAGAGAAGGAAAGAGGTCAGTAAGTGAACTCAGATCATGAAAGGCTTCATGGCTAGACTGAAGAATTTGAACATTATCCTGAAGAAAGCAACCACAAGAGTATTTATTTTAAGCTGGAAAGGGCTGTAAGTATATTTTTATTTTAGAAAGATGACATTGGTTTTGGTATGGAGAATTGGTTTGCTGGAGCTAAGCATGCAGGAGAATGATATGAGAAGTGATGAGAACCTGAACTAAGGCAATGACTGTGGATGGAGAGGAGGAGATGATTTTAAGATATATTTAGGTGGTAGAATTAAAAGAACCTGGTGACACATTAATGTGGTTGGGAGAAAGAGGGAGAAGTTTAGTATGCATCCCAGGTTTCCTGGATTCTGGCTTAGGTGACCCAAGTGGTTATGGATATGTTAGCAAGATAAGGAGCACAAGAAGAAGGACAGACAGTGTCTTCAGTTTTAGATTGAATACAAGGTGATTAAAGACATATCAGGTATTTGATATCAAGCATTTGTGTCTAGGTCTCAAGAAAGAGCTCTGAGCCAAATATAGAAGTTTGGGAATGTGTTGGGGGGTCCCCAAGACCATCCCTCAAGCGCATTGATTCAGTAGGAGGACTCTCAGGACCTGGCATATAATCATACCTGTGAGTGTGATTTATTACAGTGAAAGGATAGAAAGCAAAATCAGCAAAGGGAAAAGGGGTGAAGTCTGGAGAAAACCAGGCACAAGCTTCAGAGTCCTCTCCCAGTGGAGTCACATAGGACATGCTATAACTCCTCTAGAAACAACTTGTGACAACATGTGAAAAGTGTTGTTTATTAGAGAAGCTCATTGGAGAATCAGTGTCAGGATTTTTATTGGGGGCTGGTCACATAAGCACTCTGCTTGGTGTATACCAAAGTTCTAGATGCTCACAAGGAAAGCAAGTATTTAGCATAAGCCACATTGTTTGTACAGTTTAGGCACAGTGAGTCACTTTTATCAGTTATGGAATGGAGGGAACCTTTCCAAAATTCAAGCTCACAGGCATCAGCCAAGGGGCAACCTTGCAAGTTGGCCTTTCCAAGGACAGCAGTCAGGCCTGCTATGATAACTTTTCTGCATAGGGAGTTTAAGTGGTATTTCTGAATTGTTGAATCTTCATTTCCAGCTTTTTACTATCATAAAAAGACAGTAAATTTAATGACTTTCTGGCATTTCAGTTTTGTTTTCTTTTAATATCTTTATTGGAGTATAATTGCTTTACAATGGTGTGTTAGTTTCTGCTTTATAACAAAGTGAATCAGCTATACTTATACATATATCCCCATATCTCCTCCCTCTTGCATCTCCCTTCCATTCTCCCTATACCACCCCTCTAGGTGGTCACAAAGCACAAGCTGATCTCCCTGTGCTATGCGGCTGCTTCCCACATAGCACATGTATGCTATGTGTAATCAGTGTAATCAAATGTAATCAGTTTTACATTTGGGAGTATATGTAAGTCAATGCCACTCTCTCATTTCAACCCAGCTTAACCTTCACCCTCCTGGTGGCCTCAAGTCCATTCTCTACGTCTGTGTCTTTATTCCTCTCCTGCCTCTAGGTTCTTCAGAACCTTTTTTTTTTTTTAGATTCCATAAATATGTGTTAGCATACGGTATTTGTTTCTCTCTTTCTGGCTTACTTCACTCTGTATGACAGACTCTAGGTCCATCCACCTCACTATAAAAAACTGAATTTCATTTCTTTCTATGGCTGAGTAATATTCCATTGTATATATGTGCCACATCTTCTGTATCCATTCCTCTGTCGATGGACGCTTAGGTTGCTTCCGTGTCTGGGCTATTGTAAATAGAGCTGCAATGAACATTGTGGTATATGACTCTTTTTGAATTAAGGGTTTCTCAGGGTATATGCTCAGTAGTGCTGCATCGTATGGTAGTTCTATTTTTAGATTTTTAAGGAACCTCCATACTGTTCACCATAGTGGCTGTATCAATTTGGAGTCCCAACAACAGTGCAAGAGGGTTCCCTTTTCTCCACACCCCCTCCAGCATTTATTGTTTGTAGATTTTTTGATGATGGCCATTCTGACTGGTGTGAGGGGATACCTCATTACAGTTTTGAGTTGCATTACTCTAACAATTAGTGATGTTGAGCATCCTTTCAAGTGTTAGTTGGCAATCTGTATATATTCTTTAGAAAATGTCTATTTAGGTCTTCTGCCTATTTTTGGATTGGGTTGTTTGTTTGATATTGAGTTGCATGAGCTGCTTATATATTTTGGAGATTAATCCTTTGTCAGTTGCTCCGTTTGCAAATATTTTCTTCCATTCTGAGGGTTGTCTTTTCATCTTGTTTATGGTTTACTTTGCTGTGTAAAAGCTTTTACATTTCATTAGGTCCCATTTGTTTATTTTTGTTTTTAATTCAATTTCATTAGGAGGTGGATCAAAAAGGATGTTGCTGTGATTTATGTCATAGAGTATTCTGCCTGTTTTACTGTAAGAGTTTTATAGTGTCTGGACTTACACTTAGGTATTTAATGCATTTTGAGTTTATTCTTGCGTATGGTGTCATGGAGTGATCTAATTTCATTCTTTTACATGTAGCTGTCCAGTTTTCCGAGCACAACATATTGAAGATCCTGTATTTTCTCCTTTGTATATTCATGCCTCCTTTATCAAAGATAAGGTGACCAAATGTGTGTGGGTTTATCTCTGGGATTTCTATCCTGTTCCATTGATCTCTATTTCTGTTCCTCTGCTAGTACCATACTGTCTTGATTACTGTAGCTTTGTAGTATAGCCTGAAGCCAGGGAGCCTGATTCCTTCAGCTCCGTTTTTCCTTCCCAAGATTGCTTTGGCTGTTCAGGGTCTTTTGTGTTTCCATACAAATTGTGAAATTTTTTGTTCTACTTCTGTGAAAAATGCCATTGGTAGTTTGATGGGGATTGCATTGAATCTGTAGATAGCTTTGGGTAGTATAGTCATTTTTACAATGTTGATTCTTCCAATCCAAGAACATGATATATCTCTCCATCTGTATCATATTTTAGTTCTTTTATCAGTATCTTATAGTTTTCTGCATACAGGTCTTTTGTCTCCTTAGGTAGGTTTATTCCTAGGTATTTTATTCTTTTTGTTGCAATGGTAAAGGGGAGTGTTTCCTTAGTTTCTCTTCAGATTGTTCATCATTAGTGTATAGGAGTGCAAGAGATTTCTGTGCATTAATTTTTTATCCTGCTACTTTACCAAATCCATTGATTAGCTCTAGTAGTTTTCTGGTGGCATCTTTAGGATTCTCTATGTATAGTATCATGTCATCTGCAAACAGTGACAGTTTTAATTCTTTTCCAATTTGAATTCCTTTTACTTCTTTTCCTTCTCTAAATTGCTGTGGCTAAACCTTCCAAAACTATATTGAATAATAGTGGTGAGAGTGGGCAAACTTGTCTTGTTCCTGATCTTTGTGGAAATTGTTTCAGTTTCACCATTGAGAACAGTGTTGTCTGTGGGTTTGTCATATATGGCCTTTATTATGTTGAGGTAACTTCCCTTTATGTCTACTTTCTGGAGGCCTTTTATCATAAATCGGTGTTGAATTTTGTCAAAAGCTTTTTCTGCATCTTTTGAAATGGTCATATGGTTTTTAGGCTTCAGCTTGTTAATATGGTGTATCACATTGATTTATTTGCATATACTGAAGAATCCTTGCATTCCTTGTATAAACCCCACTTGATAATGGTGTATGGTCCTTTTAATGTGCTGTTGGATTCTGTTTGTTGGTATTTTGTTGAGGATTTTTGCATCTATGTTCATCAGTTATATTTGCCTGTAGTTTTCTTTCTTTGTGACATCTTTGTCTTGTTTTGGTATCAGGGTGATGGTGGCCTCGTAGAATGAGTTTGGGAATGTTCCCCCCTCTGCTATATTTTGGAAGAGTTTGAGAAGGATAGGTGTCACCTCTTCTCTAAATGCTTGATATAATTCGCCTGTGAAGCCATCCGGTTGTGGGCTTTTTTTTGCTGAAAGATTTTTAATCACAGGCTCAATTTCAGTGCTTCTGATTCATCTATTTATATTTTCTGTTTCTTCCTGGTTCAGTATCAGAAGTTTGTGTTTTCTAAGAATTTGTCCATTTCTTCCAGGTTGTACATTTTATTGGCATATAGTTGCTTGTAGTAATTTCTCATGATCCTTTGTAATTCTGCAGTGTCAGTTGTTACTTTTTTTCATTTGTAATTCTGTTGATTTGAGCCTTCTCACTCTTTTTCTTGGTGAGTGTGGCTAATGGTTTATCAATTTTGTTTATCTTCTCAAAGAACCAGCTTTTAGTTTTATTGATCTTTGCTATCATATTCTTCGTTTCTTTTTCAGTTATTCTGACCTTATTTTTATGGTTTCTTTCTTTCTGCTAACTTTGGGTTTCTTTTGTTTTTCTTTCTCTAATTGCTTTAGGTGGAATGTTAGGTTGTTTATTTGAGATTTTTCTTGTTTCTTGAAGTAGGATTGTATAGGTATAAACTTCCCTCTTATAACAGCTTTTGCTGCATCCCATAGGTTTTGGATCATCGTGTTTTCATTGTCATTAGTATCTAAATATTTTTCGATCTCCTCTTTGATATCTTCAGTGATCTCTTGGTTATTTAGTAGCACATTGTTTATCCTCCATGTGTTTGTGTTTTTTACAGTTTTTTTTTCCTGTAATTGATATCT